GGTGGGGGGGAGGGCACGATGCAGGCGTGGATCACTGCGGGTGGAAGGGGGCAAGTGGCAGCATGGCATAGCCCCTGCTCCCAGCACTGCTACGCCTGCATCCCACCACCCCCCACGCTGGGCAAGTGGTGGCCAAGCCTGCATCCAGTACCACGCCCCCTACCCTGGCTGGGCAAGTGGCAGGCTATACCCCCTTCCCCCTGGAGCAAGCCATGCCTGCATCATGACCTCCCGCCCTGGCTGGCAGCAGGGCATAGTCCCCGCTCCCAGTGCTGCCACACCCAAATCCTGCACTCCCCCTGCCTCCCTCCCTGAGTCCTGTGCCCCGCTGCCCTAGCTGTGCAGCTTGTCCCATCCCCAATCCCTCCCTCCCCCCTCTACCCACCACAACAGACTTACCAGCTTGGGGCAACTGTGTCCAGCATAGTGAGGACTGCTGCCTGTTTGTCTATGGCTGAATTTCTGAAGCAACAGTGAATCTTTACCAAATCAATTCAGGTGCTTCTGATTCGATTTGGACCTTTTAATTGGTCTCCCTTTTCAATTTGGATTTGGAGATTCGGTCGCCAAATTGGGCCGAATCTCCTCCAAATCAAATTGGCTACCGAAGCTTTGCGCAGCTCTACTGTGTGAAGTTCACAGCCAATTGGATTCCATAGCTTCCCTCTCTTGTAGTTATCATTTTTTAAGGCTAAGTACAGACAGTCAAAAAGCCTGAGGCTGAATCAATTCAATCTACACAGGTTAGTTTAAGCTGGGTATATTGAACTGATAAGGGAACAGACATTCATTTTTGATTTCAGAAATGCAGCCACATGCCTACAGTAGCCCAGGCCAGAAGCTGGGGGACACTAGAGCTCACCTCCCTGCTCTGCTGGAGCAGACATCTTGAATCTGGAGGGGTTCTGGGACAGAAGTTCAAAAAGTCAATTTAACCTTAATCAGTTAAGTCTGATTCTGCATCCATCCAGGTTTATCTTAAACCAGTTTTGGCCATTTTGAAAGCAGTTTATGTCTGCTGAACTGCTGTTGTGTTACAAATTTGAACTGGTTCCTAATTACTTATATTGGTTTATGTGTAATTTCTGTCTTCAGCCTATAAGCTAACAAAATGCAGCTTGTATATTTCCAAACTAGATTTAAACTAGCTAGATGAGTTAGAGAGAGCTCAAGAATGGTCTTAACCAACTGAGTGTCCAAATTCTTCAATGGATTTTGCAGCAGGTCTTGATGGTTTTCAGATTCCCTTCATTGGGGAAAGGGAGGTAGTCACATTGCTATTTAAGTTTTTGGTGAAGCTTCTTATAAGAGAAAGCTAATGCATGAGGAGTATCAATATATTATCTTTTCTAAAGAAATCAGTTGTTTTTTAGCTCAACCTGAAGGGTACAGACAGAAATGACAATTTTCACCTGATCTGACCACAGAAAGCAGTCTATAGTCATCTAGATATACTTAAGTAGTCTAGAATCTGGAATGGGCTTCCAAGGGAGGTAGTGCTCTCCCCTACCCTGGCGGTGTTCAAGAAGAGACTCAACAAGGACCTAGCTGAGGTCATCTGACCCCAGTGCTTTTTTCCTGCCCAGTGCAGGAGGTCAGACTTGATGACCTACTGAGGTCTCTTCTGAAACTAACGTCTATGAATCATGACCAAACACAAGTGCACAGCTGCAGACAGCTTCAAAAACAGTTGATCAAGTGCAAATCTGAATCTTCATTGTATGAGGGGTCAGATGAAGATGTTTCAAAACAAAGTGTCTTCCCTAATTTATTGTCTGCCTGCTTGCCAGCCTGTTGCTGTTTTCAGAATGGGAAGGGGGAAAGGGAGTGGAGGGAGTCTTGGTCTTGGAGTTTTTCAGCCCCTTCTGGAGGGTGGGGTGGGTGAATTGGAGCCCCCCCCTTGGTTCCCCAGCACTAGCTGGGGAACCCCTAGAACAAACTCCCTATACTCCCTTTTCCCCCTCCGATTCTGAAAACTTTGCAGCCTCGCAGGGAGGAGGGGCCATTGCTAGGGAAAACTGGCTGCAGTCTCCCTGAGAGCAGTTAGATTCCCCTCCCCTCTGGGAACCAACAGTGAACTTCTGTTTGGTCCAGGAGAGAATTGTAACTCAGAACACTTCCTGCAAAGCATTCTCAGTTACAGCAGGGAGCTACATTTTTGTGTGCACCCAAAGTTTATATATTCTAACATCATGACAGCCTTAATCTGCCTGTCCATAATACTTTATTTGTGCTCTGATTGGCTGACTGAAACAGCCAGTCAGAGTGTGAATACAGTGTTGGGACAGGAGGTGGCAGCGTGGTGGAGTGTTGCCATGATGGCAGGAACACAGGGGATGGAGCAAAGGTAAATTGACCTCGCCCCCACCTGCCCTGCTCCCTGGAGGCAGTGGCAATGGAGTGGACAATGTGGGGGATGAGGCCAGCATCACTGGCCTCGCCCCCCCAACCCCCACTCCCTGCAGGTAGAGTGGAGTAGGCAGGGCAGTCCCAGATTTCACAGGCTGTCCTGGTATCCCAGCCAGATTTCTCACCCCCAGGACTGTCCTGGCAAAAACAGGACTTATGGTTACCCTGTGCTTACAGGATTAAATTCAGGCACGTGATTAAATAACAGGTCAATATGCCAAAATGCAACAGGAAATGCACTGGAAAATTACAGTGAAATGTTGGACTGACCTATACAGTTAGTAGAATATGGGACAAAGTTAGGGAAGAATATGATTAAATGTCTTTCTTGAATCAACCCCAAGCCTCCTCCTTCCGTCTCCCCGCCACATCAGCCTGGTCCTGCTGCTCCCCCCCCCACCACTGCAGCGGGCTGGCTTCTCCCTTATATAGCTATGTGAAGATACAGAAAATACTACCACTGCTGTCATGTTAACAAAAATTGTAATGCTAATAAAAAATACACTTTTGCCTTGTAGGAAAATGGTCTAGTTCAAAGTTTAAAGTCTTGAATATGTCCCACTGAAAATGAGACAAACTTAAGTCCTTAAGCAATTTCCCAGTTTGATAACTGTTTGTGACCCATCTTGTCTATGAATATCTAAACTATTATACATTTATACTTAATCTTGAAGTGTGGTAAGTAATATTGTATGGATGTTTCCAACAGTGGCTTTAAGATGTGATTGTTCAGTTATTATAGTCCGCATAAATGGTATCACTGTTTTTTAGCTGGAAGTGACTTAACAGTCTTGCTTAATAAATGTGTTATGATAATGATGACTTGGCTGTTTATTGCATGTTTTAATCTTTAAGATAATTGGATCAGATGCTGAAGTCAGGAAACCATAAAATACCTAATGGTTTTTTAAATCAGCCTTGTAACACCCAGAAAAACTTTATAGTGAGCAAATCAAATACAACATGGTTTACAGAGTACTTCCTTATCACAGTACTGATGTCGTTTTCTAATTGCCATAAATGGTAGCTGAGATGGTGAATTCATCAGTATTCAGCAGTGGAGAATGCATAATAAATTGAAATTCATTTAAATATGTTTCATGGTGCTGCATAATAGAGCAAGTA